CATTGCGGAGCACAGGCTCCGGACGCGCAGGCCCAGCGGCCATGGCTCACGGGCCCAGCCGCTCCGCGGCATGTGGGGTCCTCCCGGACTGGGGCACGAACCTGTGTCCCCTGCATCCGCAGGCAGACTCTCAACCACTGCGCCACCAGGGAAGCCCCCTCCCCTATTTTTAATAACCTTTCCTAATTTTTATTTTTTTAATTGCTTTTTTTTCTGCTCACTTTTTTGTTTAATTAATTAATTAATATTTTATTTTTGGCCGCGTTGGGTCTTTGTTGCCATGCACGGGCTTTCTCTAGTTGCGGCAACCGGGGGCTACTCTGTTGTGATGCACTGGCTTCTCACTGAGGTGGCTTCTCTTATTGCGGAGCATGGGCTCCAGGCGCATGGGCTTCAGTAGTTGTGGCACGCGGGCTCTAGAGTGCAGGCTCAGTAGTCGTGGCTCACGGGCTTAGTTGCTCCACGGCATGTGGGATCTTCCCGGACCAGGGCTTGAACCCCTGTCCCCTGCATTGGCAGGCGTATTCTTAACCACTGTGCCACCAGGGAAGTTCCCTACTTTTTAATTATTTTCCATTCCCATTCACCACTCCTTTGGTCCATGCCCTTGTTCTCTCAAACATGGATTATTGCAATAATTTTCTAATTCACCTCCCTTTCGACTCTCTCCCATAGGGGAATGTACCCCATCTAAGGCCTAGTCAGGTGCCAACTCCACAATCACTCTCCTGTGATCTCACCTCCTGTGACTGCACCTTAGCTAAATGGGCCCCTCCTTCCTTTGCACTCAGAAAACATTTGGCTTGCATCCCTTGCATGACTCTCATCACACACTCCACTGTTTTTATTTGTGTACGTGTCAGCTCCCCTACTAGACGAAAGCCATTGAAAGCAGAAGCCAAGCCTTATCTAACTTATCTTCCCAACATAATATGCAATATACAGTGCCTTACACCAACATGCCTTTGATGTATATTAGTAAAATGTATGAAGGCAAATATGGGTCAAAAAGAGCATAGATATATCCTTGGAGAAGACAGATGCATTCATGGAAACAGAGCAAAGATTTCTCTCTGGTGAAAACTCTAAATGTCCTAGGGAATAGGTATGTCTCTAGAGAGCCAGATGTGTCCTGAGAGAAGTGTGTCTCAGAGAATAAACAGATGTGTTCTAGAAGCATATAGGTATATATCTGTGGAACAGACAGGCGTGTCCCAGGAAGTGGATATGCATGTAGTCAGGGAGGCTTACGTTTCAACAAGGAGGGAAGGAGAGTTCCTAAAGAGGTGCCAGGTGCCACAAGGAATAAACAGGTATCTTTTTGAAGAACCAAGTTATGCTCTAGACGTTTCTGATGACCTGGCAGGTTTGTCCCAGGGAGAACTGGAGGTGAAGTTTCCATGGGGAGAACTGGGCCTCACCATCCAGGGAACATATAGGAGTGTCCATATACAGAAATGGTGGGTCGCTAGGTATGTCCCTAAGAAGTGGGAAAGGGAGCATAAGTATGGCTCAAGAAGCTAACAGCAGCATCCAGTGAAGAACTAGTGGTTGCTATGGGGATGACAGGTCTCTGACCACAGGGTTCAGTTTTGAGCTTCTTCCAGGCCACGTCCATCTTCTGGTTGTTAACCTTAGTGGACACCAGGGGGCAGTGTGTGGCCAGGCTGCAGGCCACACCCACCCAGGGTCCAGGACAATGTAGGATGAGGGCCAAGGACCTGGAGGGGAAGTCCTGTGGCGACTCTAGTAGAGGAAGCCCCCACTGCCTTTGCCCTCAGTCCTGAGGTCCTTAGGGATGGACTCCTGTTGGTCAGATCAGAGCTCCTATTCCCAGGCCCTGGGAGGAAACTGAGGCATGAGGAAAGGGAAAATTCAGGGCTCCTGGGTGGCACCCCCTTCCTTCTTGCAGGAGCCACAGCAAAGAGTCCTCCCTCATCCCACCCACCTCACCTCCCCGGCTGCTCTCCAGACCGGAAGGGAGTCTCTTCCTGCACATTTCCTGGAGCTGGGTTTGGATAGAGGCAGGAAAGGCCTGGCCTTGGGAGGAGGAAGTATAGGGGTGTGGCCTTCGGGTGGGAGAAGGGGTGGTGGGGGGCAGGTAAGTGAACAAAACAGTGGGCCTATCCAGATTCTTCCAGCTCCGCTGCTCAGAACAGAGGGCCTGTGGGAATGGCAGAGACTCTGGGAAGGACACAGGCCCCACTGGGATGGGGAGGGGAACAGTGTACAAAAAAAAAAACAGTTTTATTTTGAAGATTACAGAACTTGAGCCTTGACCCAACCCAGCTTCCATTTCCACCGATCTAAGGATCTGCAGTTGGGGTAGGAGTGAGAGAAGGAAGTAGGGAGGGGAGGGGAGAGACCTGCAGAGGAAAGGAGTAAGATGGCAGCTGAAGAGCTCATGCCACCCTAGGTCTGGGCTTCACTGTCTTTACTCCTCCACACCACAAGGGTGACGAGGAAGGGGATGAGGCAGATGGGGGCTATGATCATGGCCAGGAGCACATCCTCTGGGG